AAAGAAAAAAAAAAAGACTAAGCATATCAGGGGTTGGTAAGGAAGCAGAAAAACTGCTAGTAGGAAGGTAAAATGGTGTAACCACTTTGGAAGTCCATTTGGCAGTGACTTAAAAAGTTGAACACATATCTACCATATGATCCACTTTGGTAATACTTAGGTGTTTGTCCATGAAAAAGCATATGTTCATAAAAAGACTTGTGCATAAGTGTTCACAGCATCCTTATTTGGAATAGCTAAAAGCTAAAAATTACTTAGATGGCCAACAATAGATGAATGGATAAAAGTTGGTCTATACAGTCGAATACTACTCAGCTATAAAAGTGAACTAATGATACACACAACATGGGTGGATTTCCTGCTGTTCTATTTTTGTATTTTTTAAGATTAGACCATTTAAAGACATAGGACAGAAAATATGGTGGAAATGTATTAAATCAAGTATTATTATTTTCATTACTGGAGATTGAACTCAGGGTGTCATACATGTTAGGCAAGTGTTCTACCACTGAGCTACTTTCCTAGACCTCAAATTCTTCTATTTATTTTAGTTAAACTAGTGGTGCTGGGGATTGAACCCAGCGCCTTCACACTGAACTGTATCCATCCTCAGCCCTTTTATTTTTTATTTCGAGACAGGGTCTCACTATGTTGTTCAGGCAGGACTCAATCTTACTATCTTCCTGCCTAGCTCCCAGAGTGCTGGGATTGCACATGTGACAGTGTGACAGCGAGTCTTGTTGTGTAATTCAGGCTGGGCTTGAACTTACTGTGTAGCCCAGGCTGGCTTCCTGCCTTCACCTCCTAAGTGCTGAGATTACAGGTGTGCACCTGGTTTAAATTCTTTTTTGTTTTTTGGTACCAGGGATCGAAATTGGGTCCTTGCACTTGTGAGGCTGGTGGTGGAATCACTGAGCTAAGCCCCCAGCTTAAGTTATTTTGTTTGTAAAATAGAAAATATTTTCAAGATAAGAAATCAGTATACAGGAAATAAGGGTTAGTTCGGAAATGGAAATGGAAATGTTTGCTCTGTAGGAAAACAAAACAAAACTGTTCCCAAAACTAGTTGCAACCAGACCTGGACAGAAACAGACACACACAAAGTCCATTTACCCCAGAAAGAAAGAGATAAGAGACTAGGACAGAGTCAGGAGACACGGGCAAGCCACTACACCGTGGTCAATTCCTTCTCAGGATTCTCTTGAGCTCTGCCTTCAAAGCCTTTAGGTCTTTGGCGTGGGGACCCAGTCTGGAGATTGGGGGAAAGGAAGAGGAAGTAACGAAGCTGGATCGGTTGACGACTGTGGGCCCTAAATGCCTCTCCCGGTCCTAGGTCTTCTTGACCCTCTCCCTGAGTGGTGGGAGTCGGAGCTAAAGGGCAGAGCTCCCTCCTTCCTCCCCTATCCAGCCAACCCAGAGGTCTCGGTCAGGGGGCGGGCCTTTCACCGGTGGTCACTGGCCTGCACCCGCGGCTCCGGGGGACGTCGACACCCCAGAACGGCTAGCACCTTCCCTTTGTGGATGCCCATGGACTGGCCTTGGGATCCTTCCATCAGGAATGAGGTGTCCCTTCGCCAGGCAGACATCCCTCCACGGCCCTGTCCCCACTCACCCTGGCTGTGGCTGGCAAGGCGGCTCCTTCCCTTCGCCGCACATCTGTCAGTGTCCCTCTCCCCACCGCACCCCTCACCCAGTCCTGAGGCGCCCCGGTTCCCGGAAGATCCGTCTCCTCCCTTCTCATTGTGGCGCTGACCTCTCGGTCCCAAGATCCTCTCCCCACTCTGATCCTTCTCCACCCCCGACGCAGCTTCCCGCATTTTCACTCTCCTATCCCAAGTTTGAGGAAGAGCGCCCCCTCCCGGGTTCCTCCCGTCATCTTTGCCCCGCTTGGCCTTTTTCCGGGGATCCCTCTCCCCCTTACACAGTAACTGAGGCTCCAACTCCAGAGATGGCCCCAGCAACAGTCCCCCTCCCCCGATGCCGCTCTTTCGAGGCCTTCCATGTCGGGTCTGCTCTTCTTTGTTCTCTGTTCCTTGAAGAAGGAAGTACTACTTACTGGGAGTCCTCAATCTCCTCTACTGCTCCTCAGCATTCCCATGATAGATGTGAGCTGCTGAGAAACCCTCTCTCAGATGTGAGGCCCTTCGTGGCTGGCATCTCTGAATTAAGGAACTGAGCTCCTCAGGTTGAGCCTGATACTGGGCCCAGCCACTCCCTCCAACACCATCAGATAAGGCTGTGTAGTGAGTGGGAACGGACAGGCAAAGCTGTCTGTGCACCCAGTGGCTCAGGTCACACAGGCCAGTGGGACAACTCTCCTACCCCGGCCCTTCATTCCAGCCTGTGCACTCCAGCGTGTCTGTTTTCCCTAGCAGGCAGGCATGCATAAGCCTTTTCACGCTTAAGTGGAAGACTATCTACATTAAAAAGAATTTCAGGAATTACATTGATAGCACTTTTCTGCACTGCAAGTCTTTTCCATTCTCTTTTACCCATGTGCTTGCCCCTAGTGGTCCACACCATGTGGTTTCTTTTTTCATGTGTTACAAAAAAAGCTTTTAATCTTGCTGTCTTGGTATGCATTTTAAATTTGTGTAATGGGAATTGTATTATTTCTATTACAGGCTGAAATTTTTAAGAGTGATCCATGTAGCTTCTGTCCTAACTGATGCCTCCTCTCCATGGTCTTTCTCTGCCATGTTTCACCCTTCCCATCTCCCTACTCTCACCACCAGGAATATCTACAAGCATGGGCCCTTTGCAATGCTTCTCAAGCACCAGTGTGCACACCTATCACCCAGGGAATCTCGATGAAGTATAGGCACTGACGAAGTGGGTCTGGGTGGAGCCTTGACTCTCATTTCTTCTCCTCCTCTTCCTCTTCCCCTCTTCTTCCTCCTTCTCCTCTTCCTGTTTCTCTCTTTTTTTTTTTTTTTTTTTTTTTTTTTTTTTACTGGGGATTGAACCCAGGACTT